CGAAAAATGTCAGTGGGTTTATATAACAAACAATAACGTATATGTTCAATTTCTGTTCTGAAGGTACGAAACAAATATTTCCCAGAACAATGAAAATACGTCAGTGTCATATATGTATAATTAGCTGTAGTCCAAAAATTCAGTCATATATATTTTTCTCATAAAACGTATTGTACATTTCAGTATAGTTCTAAAAATAAATTTCTATCATAATCAGTGATTATAAGAATGAGTACTCCAAGGAAAGACAAAGACAAAGAAAAAAATGATATTAAAGTTAGACAACGGACAGATAAAGTTATATATATGTACTGTTTTAGCACGTTTGCGTTTCCGGGTACGGGTACGGGTACAATGTTGCGGGTACGGGTAGGGTACGGGTAAAAATGAAATTTTCGGGTCGGGTACGGGTATGAAAATCGTACCCGTGCACATCTCTATCGTCGAGAGTTCATTCTTTTTTTGTTTAAAAGAGGAATAGAGACTAGATGGCGTGACAAGCACGGATTTTTGAATTAGGTCCTAGTTTTTTGTCAAATAGAGGATTTTAGAAAATCCAGAAGGCTTTTTCGGGTTTCGAAGGTTATTGGTTACCTGGAAAACCAATAAAGGCTTAATTAAAAAATCGGCGTCTGTCAGTCCATGTAGTTAGGTGTCTAGTTTAAAATAAAACAAACCCGAACTCTCCAGCTTGAAGTATATTAAAAGACCTTGGGACACACTTCAGGGTCCTTTTGATCTCTGGAAAACTCCTGAACCGTAAGACTTCGAGACAAAATAAATTATTCATTCTCGTAACTCATTGTGTCTAACATTTATGGAAAGTTTCGTCAAAATCGGATGTAGGGTGTCGGAGATAACTTCCGAGGAGGGAGGGTTCCCCCTTAAGGAAATATTCCTTGAACTCATCTACTCAGACCCAGAATGTTTTAAATATCGAAAGATAGAGAATTTTCTGGGCTTCAAAATGAACTACAATATTTTGTTTCAAAAGTTTGTCCTCATAGATTTATTGGCTAAATACTGGATAGATATGTCGATTTTTACCCCAAATCATATATAAAAATAATCACAGTTTCTTTCACAAATAGAAATTAGTAAGAGTTTTTATTTAAAAAAAATGCAGAATTGAAAGGCTACAAAACAAGCTATAGTACTTTGTTTCAAACCTTAAGTTCAACAAACTTATTGGCAAAATATCGAACGAATAGAAAACTAAAAAAATCTGCAAAAAAGCAGCAGAAATGTCTTGGGAGGGCTTTTCGTAAATATAATGAAACTCGATGAAAAAATGTTATGGAGAGCTCGGAGAAGCCTTATTTTTCTGAGAAATGTTTACTCTCTGTAACTTTTCTAAGCTGATGAGACTTTTGACGCTGATTATTAGCCAGAATGTAGAATATTTAAGGGGGCCATTTAGATTTCCCTCTAGCGTTCCCAATTTGTAGAGGATACTTCGAAGTATATGTTCTGAAGTTTTCTCAGCTTACTTACATTATTTAGCTGAGAAAAAAATTAATTACTTAAAAAAATGTTGTTAAATTTTTGAGCATGGGGTTATTATTACAAAATTTCCTGTCTATTTTCCATTCATCATGAAAACTTAGTTCTTGCCTAGATCGATGGAGAAATGTGCGGAGAACATTTACGAAGAGAAAATATGTCAAAATTTTTGTTCTTTCCTTCCGGTTATTGACTAATTAGTAAGTTAACTTACTGATTAATGTTAATTTAGCCTACTCTACTAGCATAAAGTCTTATTTGTAAAATAGCAGCGCTACAGAAAAACTCAAACAATACATCATCTGACAGAGAAATTCACGAGCTACAATACGGACTAACTTAAACATTTTAGAATCCATTTTTGGTCGCTCGCTAAGCCTAGTAAGTCCAAAATTTAACAATATTGTTGTAAATAATTAATTTTTTCTCAGCAGATAAGTTCAGTAACACGAGAAAACTTCCGAACATACACTTCGAAGTGTCTTCTACAAATCGGGAAGGCTTGAAGAAAAAATTCAAAACTTGAAAATATTGCTGGTTTTTGGCTGACCGAAGAATTTTCATCTCACCTTACGGCTAGTTTCGCCCGAACCAAGCATTTTGAAGCAAAACTCTGAGTACACAAGTTGTTCAGAATCGAATTTTGAAGTCCCTAACCAGAGCTTTTTTTAGTTCTGGTTCTGGTATTTAAATTAAATTTTATGGTTTTTAAAATTTAAAAATTTCATGTTTTTCAATTTTAAAGATCAAACAAAGCTCTCGTGAAGGACTTCGGAATTCGATTCTGAACAACTTTTGTACTCAGAGTTTTGCTTGAAAATACTTGCTTCAAGTGAAACTAGCCGTAAGGCTTTTTTCAAAATACTTTTAGCTCTAAAATTTCCTCGGGAAGGTGAAAGTTAAATTTCTCCGTCAAACTTCATTTGGGAACGATGTAAAGCTTTTCTCCTCATACAAGTTAATGTTCTCTATCGACCTACGCCAGAATCAATTCTTCATATAAAAAGCTGAAGTTTTTATTGAAATTCTAAAAATAGGGCAGAAAACCCGAAAAAAACTTCAAAATTTTTTTTATCAAAAACTACAAATCCGGGAACTGAAAGCTTTGTTGAGACGTATACTTCGAAGTGTCCTCTACAAACTGGTGAAAAAAAACATGTGAGAGGACTCCTCCTTAAGCTATTCTATAGCCTCTTTATAGGAGATCTCGAAATAAATTTTACAAAGCCCTAAGGTTTTTTAAACGGATTTCTGGAAAACGGACTTCCTATTAATAAAAATATGCTTTTCAATTTCTTTGATCTTACAATTACGTTTAGCGGACACATTAGTCATATCCTGAGATTTTGAGCTTGTGTTGATGTTTTTTGAGTGAATAGTGAATTTTTTACTATTCGGTGAAAGCAGTCTGAAAACCCTAATTTCCGTAAAACTGGCTTTTCGGGGGTTCTCAACACTTTTTCTAAAAACAAATATTTCGGCGAGACTCAGTATGGTCAATTATCTATAGTCCATCCGTCTTTAAATCTACCAAGAGTCACCGAGTTCCAGTCGTGGGACTCGTCGTAAATCAGATAAAACGCCCGAACCGCTGAAAATCAAGGTCTCACTTTATTCCTGTTTTGAAGAGAACACCCTGAGCTGTCAGTCTATGAAAAAAACTCAATACATTCCTATGTGAATTTCGGCAAACCGAAGCTGGTTTTCCAAAGATCCTCTGAAAAATTCGCTTCAAAAGCTTTTTCGAAATTTTCTTTTACTTACAGAAATATGTGGTCAGATGTCCAGTCTTCAAAACTGAAAATCGCAGGTCTGCATCTTACTTCTGTGAAAAGTTATTCGAAAAATATCCGAGACCATTCTGTTCTGTCTGAAACGCATAGTAGTTAAACATTTTCTGAAAGTTTCATCAATATAAAGAACTTTAGGCCGTTAACAATGGGTTTCCCGCTATTATTTTTTAGAGTTTCTGAAAACCTGATTTTCTAAAAACCGTGGTCTCTCGCGATCTTTGGGAAAAAACCATTGTGATATTCGGATTCAGCAAACTCGATTATCTATAATCAGCTATATTTCGGGTAAAAAGCGATGGGACAGTTGGTGGCCTTCCCTCGTCAGACCTTCTCAAACATGTAGAAGAACATCCAAACTGTTAATTCTGTCGGACGTTCTTTATGAATAGACCCATGACCCGTGGACTTTCGACCAGAACTTGAGAAGATTGGCTTAACTGTTGTGAGCATATGGCAAACTTGCTCAGTTCTAAGGTTTGCGCCGCGGTGAAAGTGCACGATACGAGAAAAGGAGAAGTGTCACAACTATTCGCTTATTATTTACGTATTCTGTTTGCCGCAAGAGTGGAAGCAGCAAGAGCAATGTCTTTTTTCTTCTGTCAATAAGAAGCAAACAGAACTATGAAGAAAAGAGTTAGTCAATATTAATTCAATATTAATTCAAAAACGGAATAATTATGTGCGACAATATTTTTTCTTTAAAAGCTGGAAGAAGAAAAGAAACAAACTCACTTTTTTCATACTAACTGCCATGCTTACAGAAAGAAACTAAAACACTTTTTCATGCATCATTTCACGTTTATACGTAAGTAAAAATTCATCAACAAGTTTTTTCTGCAAACAGTTGCGGGTACGCCAGTAACACTTTTTAAAAACAGGTAGCGTGGGTTGCGTCTGACACGTTGACATTCAATACCTTGTCAATAAGACTGTGGTGTCAGATTGTTGCCAAGACAGTTAAACACATGGTGGCTTTTGCTGAAGGAAGCACGATTCTTAATTAAAGCCCACATGTATTCCACTCATGTCAACACTATGTTACGGTAAACTTAAAGCCAAGAAATCGGAAGTTTTCTTTGGATTGTTTGGTATCAGTTGAGTTTCTATACGCTCTTTCCTTTCAACGAAAGGAACTCTTGAAGGAAACGAAAAGATAGAAAATCAGAAAACGACGGTTAGGTAAGGAGAAAAGGCAAGCAGGTTGAGTAGTAGTTGGCGACACTCTTCGCAGGTACATATTTATCTGTCTAGAAGCTTTTATTCGCTCGAAGCTAGTTTTCGGTCCTTAAGCATTACTCTACTATCCAGACAAAACTTGTGTTATGAAGGGATTTACTCTTATCTTTACGCTTCCTCGCTTCGCTGCGCCATCTGGACCTATTGGATATCAGTTGAATGTTCAAACCTTATTACGAGTGTTAGTAACGGTGACAGCAGGCGGCGGAGAATAAAGTTCTAACTTAAATTTACTCATTCAAGATGTTTGCTACTTCGATATAACCAAAGGTCGAAAGCTGATGTGCTACCTTTTCATAAAAGTGTACATCGTCAGTCAACTGTGATAGAGAAACAAGCGAGGAAGATATTCTACAACAACGAAAGACCATTCGGTCAATCGATCTGCATAACAACAACAACAACAACAACAACAACACAAATAAAATACTTACGTTAAGTTACTAATAAAATAATTAGTCAACACAAATGTCTGAAAATGAAGTACAAGGCAATAACAACAACCAGTTGGAAAAACAAGATAGTCAAGTGGGACCTGATGATAAAAAACAAATATATGGTAAAGATGTCGTTGCTCTAAATGTGACCGGAACTGTCAGTTGGTTTAATGTTAAAAGTGGTTATGGTATGATTCATCGTGACGATGTTGACGAAGATATATTCGTTCATCAAACAGCAATCATAAAAAATAATCCAAAAAAATATTTACGAAGTGTTGATGATGGCGAAAGAGTCGAGTTCGACATCATTCAGGGTGAAAAGAGTTATGAAGCGACAAATGTAACAGGTCCTAATGGTACTAATGTGCAAGGTTCAAAATATGCTGCCGACAGGCGACAATTTAATACACGTGGTGGCTTTCGAGGACGTCCATTCCGCAGACCATTCCGCGGAGGCGGATTCAGAGGAAGGGGAGGATCTGGTAGACCACCAATGCAATTTCGTCAAGCTGGCTTCAATAGAGGACTCGATCAACCGATGGGATCATTTGACAGAAATTTATCGGATCCATCTATGATGCGAGGAGGAGGTTGTGAAAAACAAGATAGCCGTGTGAGACCCGATGATAAAAAACAAATAAATGGTAAAGATGTCGTTGCTCTAAATGTGATCGGAACTGTCAGTTGGTTTAATGTTAAAAGTGGTTATGGTTTCATTCATCGTAACGATGTTGACGAAGATATATTCGTTCGTCAAACAGCAATCATACAAAATAATCCAAAAAAGTTGGCGAAAAAGTCGAATTCGACGTCGTTCAGGGCGAAAAGGGTTATGAAGCAACAAATATAACAAGTCGACTACCAGTGCAGTTTCGTCGAGCTGGATTCGATCAACCGATTGGACCATTTGACGAAAATTTATCCGGTCCACCTATAATGTGCGGAGGATTCCGTACTCGAAGGATTTTTAAAGGACGTGTTGGTTTGCCGCGGGTAATCAGAGGCAGTTTTGGTCTAAGAGGTTTATCAACTGACACAATGTAATCCATTGAACTGCGATTTCGGATTTGTTTTAAAAAACAAATCCGAAATCGCAAGAAATCCCAAAGTAAGAGAAGATCTTAAAAGATCTTCACCCTCACTTAATCTTAAAAGTTCTTCTTTTACTCTCAAATAAAGTTTACACCAACACCCTTAATTTTCTTTTTCATAAAAAACTATGGGAAGAACCATCTTTTTTACCAACAAAAAAGTACAAATCATCCTTATTTCTTGTTCAAAAAGTAGTAAAACGTATCGAGAGAATATGAGATTGCGACAAAATAGACAACACAATTAAATCGTCGTGGCTAAATTTATTCATGCCCACATTAATTCAGCTGATGATTGGCATTTTCACCGTAGCTACTACAATTCAACAGCAAAACCTGTCCATTCAACAGCGTCAGCAATACAAAGAAGATGTATTTCTATTAAGACAACATTCGGAACGTCAAGCAGATAATTTTCAAAAAAAGAGAGTGTATTGAGCAACTACATTGATGATCTCGCGAAGCTGTTGATATTGGAAAATGAAACAAGACGTCTGCCGCATATTCGAACAAAAACATTGACTAGCCTTCGACAACTCGACCCAGGGAGAAAAAACATTTGTTTCTGTTACTTTATGAAAGTATGTTGATTTATAACGAAATAAAACGGTCATCTCACATTCATTAAAAGTCAACGATGCCGATTTTAACAGGATCTATTTTGAAGTAAGAAGTAAAGCTCGCTGTTCATTTATGTATCTAAGGCGCCGCTAATTCGAAATCGGAGTGAAATTTATTTTTCTTTTGAAGTTACATATTCTGAACCGCCTCGACGCGCTGAGTTCGAATCTGATAATATTTTTTCGATTTGAGCGTTTTTTTCGCTGTGAAAACTGCCGAACATTGAGTGTTACTCGAAAGTAAACAATTCTTCCAGGCACAAAAACATCGTCTATCTCGGTAATATGACATCCTAGAATTTTTTTGACGTGATATTCTGAATCCCTGTGTAAAACTGGGTATAGACATTGTATTTCGCGCTCGGTCAAATATCACGTGATCGACAGAGGTAGCCGTTCGCCCAATCAAGTCAAAAAAGAGATCCTTACTTTACAACGATTTAACAAATTTAATATCTGATATTTCCTGCGATTTCTCGAGTTACGTATAGCTATCGAGACATAAAACTTTACAATAATACTAACGAGGGGATCTCTCCAGTTGTCCAACGCCGACTTCGATGATCTTTTATCTATAGATACTCTATAGTGTCCTACCATCTATGAAAATGTCTTGAATGTGACATGTTCGGTTTCTTCGGTGTCGGTTTAAACTGAATCTTTTTCTGTCGATTTCCACAGCCTATATATATGAACTGAAATGAACTAAATTTTTATTTTTGCAAGCATGGTTGTTGCATAGAAAGGCTAGCTTATGCTAATGCAACATCTTATATATATATAAGAATAAAAACTCATGTTGTTGTGTTTGTTCATAGTAATTTTATTTACACACTATTTTATCTTGTCTTCCTTGATAAGGAAAATTAAGTTTTCGAAGTATTGGAATAATGAAAGTTTCAAACTAGCTTATATACAGCTGTTTTTAATATATTATTTTTACTTCGCTTATTACCATCAAAACTAACAAACGGTAATTTCTTGTTGCCGACACATGAAGTTTCTGTTTTCTTTCTTTTGATCATATTAGATTCAGCGTCCCCGTTGATAATCAAATTGCCCATTTGAATAGTTCCCCATGTCCCATTCGATAATGCAGAATTGTATAGCGCCGAATTGCCAAGTTGTTCATTCGATATAATTGCTCCTGTCAAGTTTGTGTTTGTAAAATCGACATTGCCGTTAGTCCAGCTGGTATCCGTAAAATTACAATCGACCAGCGATTCTCCCCTGAAGTTCATTGTCAAAAATTTTGTCCGGCTAAAATTCACTTTGTATAACAAAGCGTACTGAAAAGATGAACGAAACAGAAGCGTGCTGAAGAAAACTGTCTCGCACGGATCTTTTTTCATCAGCAGCCCAACTTTGTTTGCGTTCCATGAAACGAGTGAAAAAATTGCTACTTCGTCCCTAAAAGTCTCAAATTCACAATGCTGCATGATTCGGAAGGAAAAAAAGTACTATATATTGCTAATGCTAACACAACAACATGATTTTTTATTCTTATATATATGTAATACTAGCTGAAGCAGTTGCTTGTCTTGTACGCTGATCATCGACCCGACTGCGTCTCTGTTCCGGAGTCTCAGCTGCTCTGGAGGCCGCATGCGTTGCCCGATCTTCCTGGCGTTGAACCTGCCCTTGTTCTGGAGTCTCAACTGCTCGGGAAGCTGCCATTCTCCTAGAAGCTGATGTACTTCTGCCCATCAGTGCTCTTCGTTTTGGTGGCATTTTGCAGTATTCCTAAAGTAAATAGGATAGGTTAGAAATATTCTACAAGAAGTGTGTATTTTTAACAAAGTTACCTTACAAATTTTGCACTTGAAGTCACAATTGAAAACACTTTAATAATCTGTAAATTTTGCAGTGTATATTGAATGTTACTCACTTACCTGTTTGTGCGTGAGTACGGTTATTAGTAGAATCGTCGGAAGATGAGAAATACTATAGTGAATATGGCTTTGATACAGAAAAACAATGGAAAAGCACACCTATATATATGTATGGCACACACTAAAACAGTTTGATAGCGTCATTGTATAGTGTGATGTGAAACTTCCAATGACGATATATCACGCATCAGAAGAAATGGGATACATCATGTGCCGTCATAAAAAACGACGAAGAGATTAAGTCATATCCAAGTATGTACTATAGCTAATCACCTAAACATATTGGACATACATTTATGACTAACCAAACGTTTCTTCGATTTCACCGACTCTTGAATACGCTACGTAAAGTTGGGCATTAGAAAAGCAAGGAGTTTCTCACCCTCACTGACCCCGTCTCAACCTTCCTCTGGACCTAAGGGTATGTCATGGAAAGTTTGGTGACGCTAGCTCTTACAGGGACAAAATGCATAAAGAATAGACACACAGACAAACATTCTTCTTTATATATGTAAATATATATATATATGTCAAATTTCGTGAGAAATAAATTCACCTAGTAGGCATATAAATATTGAAATTAGAACGGAGAAACCAACTAAATTATTTCAAAACATGTTTTATTTTATTAAAAACTCTTTAGTTGTAATAATATAAATGATAATTTTTAGTTATTCAATTTCGATTTTAGTCAGCGCCGAAAATAGAGCTCTTTCTGGCATCTTTCGTTCACAGTTTATAGGCATTTTGTATAGAGCGTTCATAGAATAAGCTCCTGTTGAACAGTTACGAATGTGTTCGTTTATCTTTAGTATTGTGTATTGAGAATATGTATCGTGCAGCTATGTACGTCTGCTCTTATAGTATAAGAGCAGACGTATAAGACTTATACGTAAAGGAGTACTGGTCTCACCTATGTAGAATTCTTTGCATCTAGAACTTATGGGGCAATGTATGAGATTCTGTATATTGCAATTCATATGCTGCCTGGCAAATATTATTTTACCATTTTTTAGTGTTAATCTGTCTGCTTCGATGAGGATGTGATACGTTTTGCAATTTGGTTGATCCCAACGTGAAGTTGCTGGACAATGACTAGGATATTGTTGTGAGAATGTAAGAAGTCTGCATGAATCTGGTGGCTGTCTGTATGATGTATGATGATACTTTGTTTTAAAATATATTTTACTTGTATTTGTGGTGTTGTCTTGTCGCACGCGAGAAATGGAGCTTGGTTGATTTGCTTTATGTGTCGCATCTTGAATTAGTCGTGTAGCTACACGACTAATTCATAAAACGGCTATCCTAGGATAGCCGTTTTCTTGCATTGGCGTAATGCTAATTGGCTGAAGGACTTGTCCAAGCGTGACTCTGTGACATTTTTGACACAGTAAATTTAGCTTTTCTCAAAAACTGTATGAGCTAGAAATTTCATTCTTGAGCCATTCGACGCAGCTCGCCATACTCTACTTTCGTTATAAAAACGAAGGTATTTGGTTAAAGACTCGAATTTTTAGAACCGTTTATCGGTGCGTGACGCTGTGACAAAAAAAGGCCCTAAATTCGAAGCTCTTCTCAGTAAAAGCTAATTTGCTCCGAATTTAGAAGACCTAATGAAAAGTGTCTCAAGCAAAGTTTGTAGAGGAGGAAACGAGCTATTGATTACTAAAAAAAAGATTTTCCGATGAGCTTCCCATCCCTCAATAATTGTGTTTTAGCGCCGTGATTCTTAGAATCGTCCGAGAATCTCAAAACGTCAAACTTTATTAAAAAGCTTGTTTTGAGTCTAAACTTCAAAAGAAACATACCATCTTGTAGTGAATCGAATTCTCTATCGACTTGTGTGATCTTCCATTTTTAAGGAAAGGTGTCTAGGTCAGGAAATTGAAAATACCGTTTTCAAAAAACGTAAAACTGGATTTTTGCCGCCAAAATTTAACTTTTTAAAAAAAATAATGTAAGATTCGTAATTAGCATCAAAAACTACGTCTAGTGATGTGATTCATTCAGTTCTACCCTAAAATAATTTTTTCAAAAACTTGATCAGCGAAGTACCGAGTGACGTGGACCAGCCGTGAAACGATACTCTCGTCCTGTTGCATCGGATACAACTGATTATATTCGTTGGGCAAGTATGTACGAAATATTACGTTTCAAATGTGACGGAAGTAAAGACTTGAAATGTACATAGTTAAATGAATTAGTCGGTTTAGTATAAAGATCAGTAGATACGCTGGTGTGACCTAATGAAACCAATAAGTTCAAATAAAGTTTGTTTTTGTTGAATGTTATTGATAAATTTGATAGAATGATGCATATTATTAAGTAAATCGATGAACAATTGCAGTTGTTGATCTGTATCGCTCCAAATTATCCAAGTACCATCAGTATACCTAAAATAGTTTATTCATAATGTGAGTAAGAACATTGGGTAGGTATAAGTGGGCGGATGTAAAATACGTTCGTTTTTCAAGATATACCCCTGTCAAATTAGCTACTGTTTTTGATACTGAACCACCCATTTCTAGGCCTCGAAGTTGCTGGTAGAAAATTCCTTTAACAATGACATAGTTATTTTCAATTATTAGTTTGATAGCCTCAAGGATAAACTAGACTGATATATCTATTAAGATGAATGTGAAAGAAGTTGAAAGAAGAAGAAATACGATAAGTTTTATTTTCTGTTTTCTGTCGAAAAAAGGAGAAAAGAATTCTTTATTGTGGATTTGTACGTCAGAAATGAACGAAAAGAACTTAATGAGCTGAATTGCTTTTTAAAACGTAAGATTGCTTAGCTCAACTGTTAGGATCAGGTTATCAGATACTAGAATTCTCGATAAACCTTCTAGATATATAATCATGGGTACCGAGCGTGTTGTACAATTAAGAGAACGCTCATAACATTGGATCACTAGTGACTCTTTGAGAAGTAATCTCTACAGGTTTTTATCATTCCACATCATTCTGAAGGTATTCCAGTCAAGTTTATGTACTTTTTCTAACTCATGATTAGCTAGAGCTGACTCGTTAGATTATTGTCAGCATGCATAGAAAACTCGGACTGAATTAACTGTGATGCTTTAGCTAGTAGTCTGTGTGACCCTCAAACCTCATCTGTCAATGATTGTGTCTGACGACGTTTTATGTATCGTTTATTCTTTAGATTATTATCAATATCTATACGAGGCTGGGACTCAGATGTTTTAGCTAATAGCCTAGGTGATAATGATTTAGGTAGGGCAGTTTTTATGAGACGAAAGACGAGAGAGTACAGTACTGCTATAAAGATCATGGTAGTAGAATTCTTTTATTATTCGAGCTTTCGAAAGCTTCTGCTTCCATCTTCAGGAAGAAACAAAATGACATAACTATTGAGAAATAGGTTCAAAGTACATAAGAGAGAGAGATAAAGAACAAGGATGATTTGTATTCTTATTGAAACGGTCAACGGACCTATTTGTTCGAAGAACATTATTTGCCCCCCAAACTCTCCTAAATGGAGATTAAATATGTCCGTTGACCGTTTCAATAAGAATACAATCATCATTGTTCTTTATCTCTCTCTCTTATGTACTTTGAACCTACTTCTCAATAGTTATGTCATTTTGTTTTTTCCTGAAGATGAAAGCAGAAGCTTTCGAAAGCTCGAATAATAAAATCAAAGTGTGGGAATTTGGTAAAATTCTACTACCATGATCTTTATAGCAGTACTGTACTCTCTCCTCTTTCGTCTCATAAAAATTGCTCTACCTAAATCATTCTTACAAATGACTCGCTCTCGATACGGCGATGTTACATTTTTAACAATTAGACAACTCGAGAAACATGTAATCAAATTACAAAAGTGTAAATGTGATATTGAATTCATAAGAACCGCTCTACTATACAATCTAACCCCAACCTTCATTAGTATTTACCTCTACAAAAGGAAATTGAAATCTCATCCTCAATACTCATCCTTGAAACGACACTGCCTTCAATATGAATATAAACTACGTGTCAAAGATTTACATAAACATCAAAATGAAATCGACAAACTAATATCAATGGTGAAGTCAAGAATAAGCTACGTTGATTTTCAAAAACTTCAACAGTATTTCCATGAAAGTGCACAACGAGTGAAACAACGAACAGCAGAGATCCACACAAAGAAACTGGAGAAACTAAACAAAAGCCCAGTCGGCCAAAATTATGAAGTGATGAAGAACAAAATCGTCCATAATTTATCCTCCTACGAACTTTCTCCTACTGAAGAACGTCTTCTAGTCGTGGATACCAATTTTGCATTGAAAATAAACTAACAAACTACATTGATTTTAAAACCGACATTGAATGTAATGTCCTTAAGTTCGAAAACCTCTGTCATTCTTCAGTCTACTCTACTTTCTGTCATTACCTTCATGACTATTCTCAACATCTCATTCAATCAGTCAAAAAGAAATCAATAAGAAATATCAGTGACGAAGAATTTGAAGCACTTCAGTCTTTGAAAAATAATTCCAACATCATAATTTGTCGTGCTGATAAAGGAAACGCCATCGTCATCTTGGATAAAAATGAATACATCAATAAAATGAATCAGATTCTTTCTTTGAAACAATTTAAACCTACTTCCAAATCTCTGCTAATAGAAAAAGAAAAAGAAATGAACGAATACCTACGTTATCTCTATGAAACTGAACAAGCAATTGATGAAAAGAATTTTTGGAAAATAAAGTCAAGTTTTTCGTCTCTCTCCACCCTCTATGGTCAACCAAAAATACACAAAATCGGTTATCCGATGAGACCTATCATCCCTGCGGTCTCTTCCTACAACTATGAACTGTCGAAATATTTAGCAAATGTAATCATGAATAATAGAACAAAACACTCGTTGTCCTATATCAAAGATTCATTTACTTTCGTCAAAAGAATTCTAGGAATGAAAACAAGCAAAAATCAAGTTTTAATAAGTTTTGATGTCGACAATCTCTATACTAATGTGCCAGTGAACGAGTCTATAAAAAAATTGCTTTAGATATTGTTTATAAACCAAATCAAGTACCTAACACAACACTAAAGCGGCACCAAATGAAGAAACTTCTTGAACTTAGTGTTTGCAATATTCCTTTTCGTTTCTTAGAAAAGAATTTCGTGCAAATGGATGGGGTTGCAATGGGCAATCCCATCGCTCCACTGCTGGCAGACATATTTATGTCAAATTTAGAACAGAATGTAAACCGATTTTCAACAAACAAACCTCTACTCTGGTTGAGATATGTAGATGACATTTTCTGTGTTTTCAAAATCGGTCAAGACATCGATGACTTCTTGAGAAGAATCAATAAATGGCACACATCTATTCATTTTACAATTGAAAAAGAACAAAATAATCAATTAAATTTCTTAGATGTGTTAGTCTGTCGTGACCCAACTACAAACAAGTATAAAACAACCATCTATCGAAAAGCAACACACACTAAAAAAATGTTCCACTGTTTCAGATATACTACATTGAGATAGATTACTTCCAGCTAAACGTTTTCGAAAAAGGTGAGAGTTCAGGTCAGAAAAACCACATTTTAACTGGTAATAGATCTGATCGTACTCTCTGTTCACACCACAGACTCTAAAAACTTTTATATTATTTTCCGTCGAGACTAATTTACTTTTAAACTCTTTTATTTTCGTACATGATCTCAGATTATTATCTAACTTATTCCACTCAAGCATGAAACGAGGAAAGAAAGACATTTCAAATTTCTTTGAACCTGTGAGTATATTTAGTAATATTAATTATTCCGGAACGGAATTTACATGAATATCAGTTTGTGCTAAGAAAATAGTTTTGTACTGAAAAACGAAATAAATCGGATTATCTTAAAGCAGAGTTACGACTCCATATTAAGAAAGAGTTCGTGATAGAGGTGAAAATATTCTGTTTCTCCAAGATATTCATACTGTGCGCTAATAATGAGCACCCCATACATTCAAAATTAGTGAAAAATATTTATGCCTTTAGAACCTGTGCTCTCTTCAAAGTTTCGGGGACATAGATCGTTAATCTTTCCATGGAGATAAGAGTTGAAGGAGCGAAAGCGCGATATTGTCTATTTCAGGAAAAATTTTAAAATAAGATGAAATAGGTTGGCATACTAAGGAAATACAAATGAAACACATAAAAGCTATACATATGGGACGCCCGCCTGGGTATCATCCACAAACAATAGATAATAACAGAGCAAAGTTAACAGCAATGAAGTAGTAAAGCACTTAACTTTCCTTAAAAAGTACATCATGATGAACGCAATGGTTGTTAAATAATAAAGTAAGAAAAGTTTTTCATTGGCAATCAAAACTACCCATTATAACAGTATAGCCCGGACCAAAGACAGCACTGCATAGGATACGAATTCTCACAAATCGTTCTTCGCGACGTAGAAGAAAGGATCAAGGTACTAAAGAGCTAGAAAGAGTTATTGAAAAGTTGCTTTATACATATTTCGATGTAGGTTCGTTTTATTCAGTTAAACAAAAATGTTAAACAAAGTTCACCTAGATGATGCAAAAACTTTGTTTGTTTATAAAACGCTGCTCAATACGAAAATACAAAAGTAATGTAGGTTGTGGCTGATGGAGAAAGACATCATCTTCTTGTTGTTGCGATGTATAGGAGTGCTCGTCAATGGCATCCAACGTTGGGGAAAATGGGGGTTTGTTTTTACATGGACTTTCGGAATGTTTTTAATTTTGTTCTCTAAGAGTCTGACATAGTTTGTAATGGCAACTTTCAAGGACGTCTGTTAATATTTTAGAACTGGAAGACATTTTATTTTCAACGGTGTAATTAATTTAATAAAGCAAGGTTATTAGATACAAAAAAAGATTAAAATGAATCTGTTTGTATACACAACTCCGTGGAAATGATAATACTAATAGGGACGTTGGAACTGCATGCGCTTTTTGTCTTGTTGACCGTCGACCACAACTTTGACCAAGACTTCCACTGATTTTGATTTTGACGGCTCATCTGCTTCTGCATTATCATCACCAGAATTTTCAGGTCTATTCTCACCAAAACGTTGATTACCATTTTTATGTTGTTCCCCGCCAATTTCTTCGGTGGGATCAAATGAACCAAATCTGTTTTCAGACGGTGGACCACCTTAAAGACAAAATGGCAAAAAAATCAGGATATTAGATTAATAAGTATCCAATTACTGTTTATCTGTAACATAAGTAGCAAACCAAGGAAGGAAGAAAAAACATTTTGCTACGGCTTATTTGTTGGAGACTCTCACGCTGCAACCAGGTTTTTGCATCGCGCTGCCTCTGCCGACACTTTTTCACAGCAGTCAGAAATCGATGGAAACATATAGGAATTATAGTTTAGAGTTAGTGCTGCACACAATAGCATTATTGAACATGTCAAAAAAAGCTTAAAAATGACCTTTCGATTTTTCACAGTACGGTTTCCGAAAAGAGCTGGCAAGTGCTTTGACAGAAAAAGCATTTTAGGAGTCAAGTATTGGAATAAAAAATGTTCAGCATAGTCACTTACAGGGGTATGACTATTTTGGTTACGTTTTCAATGTAAAATCTCAAAAAAATTTAACTTCTAAATTTTCAAATCACTTCGACAAGGGTATTTCTTATTTCTCTGCAACCTCTTACCTCTTGTAAAAGTACTAGGTCAACGTGGACTGGAAAACCTTCTCTTTCTGAAACACCAGTCAAAGTTTACTTTCAGTTACCCGATTTGCACAAAGTCAAATAAAATTTCGATGTTCGTACATATAATACACTTGCACTGAACTTTTTGTTGAATTTATATGAAACTGGGAATATTTTTTCTTTCCAAATAAACACGAATAGCATTTTTATCACACACCCTTGGAGACTAATAAATTATTTAAAAAAAGAGTTTCAAAGTGGCAAAACTCATTGAAATTTTAAACTTGAACTCTCGTAAATTCGCCAAACACCGATAAAAAACGTTGAAAGATTCTGCACAAATGTAATTAAGGTTAGTTGCCTCTGCAAACTAGTAAAGTTTGCATATAATGAAGGTAGGGCAGATTTCCATTAAATGCATTCTTTTGGCTTAAAAAAGATGTCTACAGCACTAATAACTAGTAGAATTCAACAAAAAAAATGTTAGAAGTCTTATTTGTATAGGCGACCCCGTATAATTTGTTTTCTACAAAACTGACATACTCTGAATTTTATTAAGAATCAGAATGGTTAAAACACGTACGTGGTTGTCCGATACCTTGAAGTGACGGTGATGGTTTCTTCATTCCTGAATTTCCCATTGAAGGAGGGCGTGGTTGATTTTTGTGTGAATTGGAATCCGTCCAATTTCCTTCAGTCATTGAATGGTTACTGTCAACATTTAACATAGAATGTAGTACCTCTGGTTCTGTACCATTTACTTCATGCATTGGTTCATGTATTGGTATCATTGGTTCATGTATTGGCATCATTGGTGCACTTGTTACACGGTAACACTGAATAACGGCTATAACTAACTGAAAATAAACAAAATATTACTGTTGGTCTCGATACTAAAACTATTCACTACATACGCAAGTACTATAGATAAGATGTTGCATTGTTCGTTATTACTGTATATATTCTAATGTATATAATATATGCAATACTTATGAACTAATAACTAGACAGTAATTTGTCGCCTATATTTATATAAAATGAAACCATAAGTGTTATGGGAAAGAAAAAGAATGTACTTAGTAAGCAAAGTTTTCTTGATAGTCTGATCATCTGTAGTGCATGATATTATAACCACATCGTGAAATCATATAACCATCAAATTCAGTTAATCGATGTACTTTTACACTTTATTTATATACTGAAGAAAGAAATCTTTCTATAATGCACTATTAATGAGAACTGCTCACATACATTTTCATCTCACACCCCTTCAAATTGCTTTCGTTGAAGAAAGGTCATTTTGAAATTTGATGAATGATTATGGTACAGACAGAACCATTTTAAGACTTTTTTTCTTGGGCCTCACACCGATCCTTCAAAAAGGTTTTGTCCAAAAAAGGTTCAGTATGGTACTATTTATTCTTTTTCGAAAGTCCAACCGAAAAGGCTTTAGGATTAATTTTTTTGAGAAAAGACTTCGAAAAAAGTTGCACGTAATATGTTTGTGTTAAATATATTAAAAATCTACAACACTTCGAAAGTATTACTTTTCGCGAGCACATATGCTACAAGCGTAGTATCGAAGCACCAAGTATCAGTAAAACTTTAAATAACTATACATACTCACGACGGAACCTTTTCAGGTGTCCAACCGCTTTTCTAATGAAATGCGGTATTCGACAGGTAATGCATCATGCTGATTTCGAATATGATAGCCATTTTTGGCCATAGGCCTTTCCTAACCGGTTTCTGGACAATTGGTTTTCCAGACACTCTAAAAAAATAATCAAAACATTTCATTATACGGCATCATTGTCGCACGGAAATTTCTGATTAAAATGAGACGTCTCCCAGCTCTACATGACCTTTCTTTGCAAAGTTATAGAATTTACAAGAAAAGCCCTAAATAGATTGATCTCATCGTATTACTGCAGCTCTGAGGTGACAATGAACATTTAGGGCTTTTCTTGTAAATTCTATAACTCCATGAGATGAATCCTTTTAGGCTTTTTACTACCTCGATATAGGCTATCGCTTGCTGTATGTTTGAAAGAAATCGGGGTTGAACACACAGTTTCATGGCAATATTAGTTTTTAGAAAAAAATTTAAAAATCTATCGAAAAGCCAGTTTTACGAAAATTAGGTTTTCAGGCTGTTTTCGTCTAATATTAAAAAATTCACTATTCCCTCAAAAAAACATCAGAACAAGCTCAGAACCTCAGGATATGATTAATATTGTCTGCTAAATGTGGCTATAAGATTGAAACAATCGAAAAGCTTATTTTTGCTAATAGGTTTTCCAGAAATGCTTTTGGAAAACCTTAGGGTTTTGTAAAGTTTCGTTCAAGATTTCCTATATATAAGATTTAGCATAGCTTAAATACTCTACATTCTGAAGTTCTGAACTCGTTCTGATGTTTTTTGAGTGATGATTAGTGAATTTTTTAATATTAGGCGAAAACAGCCTGAAAACGCAAATTTTTGTAAAATTCGCTTTCCGGTAGGTTTTTAGAACAAATATTGCCACGAGCCTTAGCATGATCGATTGCCTATAGTCCATCCGTTTTCAAGGCTACCAATAGGCACTAATGCCAGTCCTGAAACTCTCGAGACCATGGTGTTTTGGAAAACCTTCACAATCACTGGCGCTAATTGGTGCTATGGCCAATGGTAGAGCACACATAGAGGAATATTTGGCGAAAGGTTGAGCTCGATTGGACTTTCTCTATTTGTAGCGTTTACAAAATACAGAATGATGCTTTTTTTGTACTTAATTTTAGCCTAGTAGATTTTTTTATTTTCGTTTTATGTCCGCCTGGTTGTCCACTGTGCACCCCTTCCTATACATGGAATAACTTTCTGTTTTCATGCTCTTATAGGTAAAGTTCAAACATTATCAAATGCACTTTGAATGGAAGTGCCACGCTTTTGTCAAACCATCTCCCCTAAAAATCGGCAAGTTCTAACAGTATCAGTCTTCTATGATTCTCCAGTTAGAGTTACCATAGATCCAAATTTTTAGCAAAAACATAGTTCATTCAATCTTATTGAATAGTATTCCCTAGTAAAACTCTTAGAAACTTCTTAAAATTATCTTACTAAGATCTTATAAGATCTTATCCTTTAAGATTTTCATAAGATAATCTAAGATCTTAATAAGATTTAATGACTCTACTTTCATTCAGCCCTTTGTTTTGCTCTCATCCATATATAGGTAACATCGAAAATATGATTATACGGTTATTTTTCTTCCAGACTCTGCTAGTACTTGTTCTCTCGAAAGTATTCAATAACTTTTTAGAGAGTGTACATGTAGATCAAGGTCCATAGTTGGACATCTGAAAATATGAAATTTCTCTTCATTCTTCAACACTGTTCATCTGCTGCTTTGGATAATGCGGATTAAAACTTGAAAAGTGAATCTCGAATGAATATTATTTAAAAAACATTATCGTTCTTACTATTAAGATCCTAACACATTCTTATCCAATCTTGAAAAAGTCTCAGACAGTATAATCTTAGTAAGATCTTAGAATAATCTTATCAGGATCTTAGTAAGATTTCGCTTACATTTACCTAAGTAAGCGTTAGAAAAATCGTATAAAATCTTAGAATTTTCCGATCTCACGATCGTACTAAGATTTGTTTAAGATATCAGACAAATGTAAGCGAAATCTAACTAAGATCTTAACAAGATTTTTCTAACATCTTAGTAAGATTCGAGTAAGTTTTTCACGAGGGATTCCATTAAAAGAAAAAGGATTAAACAAAACGTGCACACCTTTTCAATCAAAGGGCTAGGGTGGGTCATTTTCTTGTAAATTCTATAACTTTGCAAAGAAAGGTCATGTAGAGCTGGGAGACGTCTCATTTTGATCAGAAATTTCCGTGCTACACTTCCGGTCCATGAAAAGAAAGCAATACAATCCTATTGGAAAACTCTTACAGACGGCCTAGCTTTCCAAAGTTCTCTTAGTAACCGTGTTCCAGAAAGGTCTTCTAAAAACAATTTTCATTATGAAAACATGCGGTTCTGAAAAAATACAGTTAATATAAATTTACCACCCAAGCGTGAAACTTTATAAGAAATAAGCTAGCTGCTCTTGTTGAAGAAGCGGCCGCTTCTCTATTGATCAGCTAGTTAAAAGAGTAAAATTTAACAGGTGTAGCTAGCTGCAGTGGGACACACCCGCTAATCCGTTTCAGTACTGGTTGCAGCAAGTGAAGGGTGACGGATGCGGGTGAGGATGTATATATAGAATGAAAAAACTGAAGGAAAGAAAATAAAAATGAAGTTCCTGCGGAGATTCGAACTCTGTATAATCTGAGTGACTCAATATTTCGCCTTGGTGATGAATACGATGGAATTATAAATAGAATTTTCTGACAATTTTGCTTTCAACTACTATCCAGCAACGAACGAACGGGTTATAGAACGGCTTCAAATCAATTTCGAACTAGCTCCGTGGCTATCTAGAAAGGATTAAGGCATTCGAGCAGAGTTCAAGAATTTTGAACGGGATTCCGACGAGCGTTGCATGTTTTTCTAGCTCTTGGGTATTTCTAGACTGATTTCTGAGAGTTTTACGCTAATGAGTCAAAATTTCAGCAGCCACTGGTAATCGTGAAGTTCTTCATATTTCAGTAAATTGAATAGAATCAAACAACAAAAAAGAACAGATATAGGACATGTTCTTTCATTCTCTTACTATACAACTTACGTCTTTCGTCTCATCTTTAGCGAAGAGAAATGACGACGATGATCAATCGGAAAAATAGGATATGATACAGTATGTTTGTACACGTTTTCGTGTGTTTACACTTATTCTAATGGATACCTATACAGTTTGATCTTAACAAATTATTTAGATATTCTTCGTCAACCTTTAGTTTTTAATGAAATGTGCGTAGGAAAAGATGAGATTGAACGACAAGATATTTTTGGATTATGCGATCTTTATTACTAGGACTGGGCAACTCCAACTCCGGAGTTAACGATTTTTTCGTTGGAGTTGGAGTTGAGATTAGCGGAGTTAGAGTTGGGTTTTTGAATTTTTATTCTCAACTCCGTTTTTCATTTTTGGAAATATTCAATAGTTGTAAACTGACCTTCTAAACGATTGAGTGGCTGTATTCACGAGTGAATTCGGAAGTTCTTTGTGCTTTTCTGCCGGAAAAAGCTCAAAAACGTCCAGAATCTTGCTAAAAACCGAAAAATCTTCCTTACAAAAGTGAAGCGGCCGGAGTTGAACTGGAGTTGAGATTTCTGTTGAGAAAGTTGGAGTTGGAGTTGAAAAATTTTGAGCGAAGTTGGAGTTAGAGTTGGAAATTTGAAAGCGGAATGGAGTTGGAGTTGAAAGTCAGAGGAGTTGCTCAGTCTTGTTTATTATTACGCTTAAATAAATAGACAGACATTTACTCCGACAGCACAAAATAAAAGAACTTAGAATACAAAAAAGTCAATATTTTGAACGGTTAATTTAGTTTTGTAGTTTACTACAAAGCTAGTTCACATGTTCGAATCTCTATTCGTACAAAAATTGATTTTGTGTTTTTCGATAGTTTTAGTTTAGAATACTATAATGGAATATTCTTCCGCTTGTATTCTGACAGAATAAAGCTATAAAACAAAAACAAAAAGCTAATACTTTTAGAAAACATTCTAAACCTGTAGGCAAGCAACATAGGTTGGGAGAAGGAAAATAAAAACAGCGCCGTAAGAAACAAAAAATGGAGAATGAACACGTGTTACAACATATTAATAAACGAAAAGCAAGAGACCACAAGAGGATATCAGATACACATACAAATGAGCAGCCTTTAAGTTTCCTACTTTTTCTCTTAAAACTCTAGTCACTTAACAATAGAAGATACATGTTCATTTAACATTCTTTTTACTCGTTTCATTCGAAAAAATTGACCACATTTACCAACATGAAG